ACTGCAGGAGGGTGAAACTGCAACTTTGCAGTTTCACCCTCCCCTTTGTAGATCTTGAAATGTTTTTTTTTTTCTTTCCAGTTTACCTAGTCCTATATTTGCGCGAGCATTTCAAACACAGTAAAGCAAAAGTGGCTAGTCAGCATAGCTATGAAGAAAAATCTGAAAAAAAACCCAGAACGCTAATGCTCACAAACTAGAAAGCAAATAAATATATTTAGAATACATTATTTTAAGTAAATCCTGTAGTTTTACCTGACTTACTATTTTTGGGTGCCCCGAAACAGAAATATTGTTACCCAGCTGCTTTGTTTTCAGGGCATCATTTTGCCACAGGATAAACTTTAGTCACTATGGAAACAACGATAAAGCCGAATACAGCATACAGAAGCAACTTGGGGAAACTTGACCCATGTTGTCCTTCCTATGCCCCATGTTGAAGAGCCGGGTATGTCACAGTGGTTTGGCAGTGGCTTTGAGAGTAAGCAGGGCTGGGTCCTTGTTCCAGGGATAAGGTCTCTCTGCAAGACACAGTCCTGGATTCTCTTAATTCTGCTGTGCTCCAGCTCTGAACAGCTGAGTTACAACCAGTTTTTATCATTTGCTCCTCATTCCAGGTCTCTTAAGCTTCACCATTCATGGAGGTTTATAAAAACCTTCCAGCAGGTTTATCTTCATCACTCACTGGCACCTGTGTTGTCCTCTCTGTCTCCTTCATTTTCCTGTTTTCACTTTGGAATTCAATCCTGTATGTCTCCGTAGTACCTGAGAGACTCCTGTGTAAAGATTTGTTGCTACTAGAGAAATCCCTGTTTGAACACACCAAAGCTCTGCGTATTCCTTTTCGGATTAAATGCCTAGAGTAAAGGTTTAGTTAGCTTGCCTCCCCTCCCCACGAAGTTTTTCTCTTGCCGCCACTCTGCTCTTTGATTGTTGTATTAATAGAAATGTGTTGGATAAAAAGGGAGCTGGGAGATGTGATGCTCTTTCACCATCTAGTGAAAGTGTGTCCCACCCCTCTGACCCCCAGCCAGGTAATCTCCAGCCACATGCCACATGCATAAATTGAGTAGTGTCAGCTGCCTGGTATAGAGGGACTTGGCACCAGCACCCCCCTGAGATACGAAGGCAGTTTCTCTCCTCAAGGACTAGTGTTACAGGTTCTTTACAGGCTCGAGGAGCTTCACTGGGTATTCTGCTCTTGGGGCTCACTTGAGCCTTCTTTCAGTGCCTCTAAGACTTGTAGGCTCTTTTCATTTTATTTTTAATGAAAGCTGATAGTCTAATGTCACCAGCAGGTTTGTGGGACCAGAGGGTGCAGGTAGGTCTGAGCCTAGTAACGGTTGAGTCTTGTTCTTTGTTGTATGTATGTCAGTTTGGCGATTAATTTCTGGTGACCCTGTTATCTGTGAACTTGATAAAGGATAAAAGAAATTCTCCCACAAGAGGGCAGCACTGGGCACAGCAATTGTGGCTGCTTGTGTTACACCCTTTAATGAAACAGTGAAAGGGTCTTTCCCTTTGTGGAGGCACTAGCACTTCTGTTACTGGTTTACTGTGTTTTCATTTGTGTGGCAAAACAGGGGCAGTCCAGAGGTAACGTAACAGCAATCCGCAAGAAAAGGATTTGGCCTGAAACACACTGCATACAGAAATTTTAGCCCCCCCCCCCCCCCCCAAAAGACAAG